GGGGAAGAGCTGTTGCTGAACAGGAAAGGAATAAGGGTATTTTACCCTTTGGATGAGTTTCTTGAGTGTGTTTATTAAATACAGCTTGAGCTGAAAGATTTTCTCACATTGTCTAAATGAAGGCAGCTGCTATACTCAGAGTTTCTTACTGCACATATGCAAAAGTGACTGAGGGGCAAGATGAAATCCTTTCTTTGGGGTACAAACAAGGGTCATTTCAAAAATTTCAAGTTGATAAGACATTTTTTTTTTAAGAGATGTTTGCTATAGGGTGCATGTGCTTGCCAGAGAGACAGAAAGTGAGAAATTACCCCCCAGGGTGCATGACCATGCTGCAGTCCCTTCTCTTCCATTCTCCTCTTGGGATTTTGGGCACACAGACACACACACACACACACACACACACACACACACACACCCTGTGTGAGTTTTAAGCTGCTAGGACTAGGACTCAGGCCGCAGTCAACTACATGGGAGTCCAGCAATGTAACCATTCCACCATCTGCTGGTCCCAAGTTGAGAAGATATTCTGAGAATATAGCATCTTTAGCCACTTATTTAACAAACATTTAATGAGCACCTACTATCTGCCAGGCCTTGAAGAGGGAAGATGAAAAAGACAAGGTCCCTTTCCTTGCAAAGCAAGCTGCAATTGTGCCATGACCCAGCTGTACTATCATTACAGGTGTGGAGTGCCCTCAGATGCCCTCAGTCCCCCCATTAGGTGCCTTTAATGAGTCTTTACATGCCATTCTTGAGTCTTCAGGTGTAGGGACTCCCTGACCTTTTCAACATACGCAGTGCCTTAGAATTCCTGGATTTTCCTAATTGCAGAGATTCTGATTTAGTAGGTCAGTAATAGAGGTAAGGCCAAGATGTTTTGCAAATGTTTCCTTGTGACTTGAATGTGTTTGGAAACCATTGTTTGAGCCAGCTTTGTCCTGTGTATTCTCCTGGCACACTTGAACGAGATGCAAGAGTATTATGTTTGACAAAAGATGATTTCACTGGAGCTTAACCTTTGTGTGACTTGAGGCAAGTCAGAGTGGAAACTCGCTTGAGTCTGCAGGAACTTTTGCTCAGTTCAAGTTTCGATAAATGAGAACAGTGAGAATGAAAAGTACAGGTGCTTTGCAGAAAAATATCAGCCTCTGCCCTCGTGAATCCTGCAGAGCAAGAGATAGTGACTAGTTTGCTTCTCGAGATTGCTTATTGTATGTGCATTTTCCTTCCTACTCTTCTTTTAGAAATTTGTATTGTTGGGCTAGCAGGTGGCATGGAGGTTAAGGTGCTGGAACTGACCATATGGCCAGCTTCACAGTTTGAGTCCTGGACCCGGCAGCCTGAAAAACATGCTGGGTGTGTGTGTGTATGTGCATGCCCAAAACCCCAAGAGGAGAATGGAGAAAGGTTTGCAGTGTGGACATCCCTTTGGGGGGTGATTTTTCACTTTTTCTCTCATTGTCTTTCTTTGTTGGGTACACATACACTCAGGTAAAAAATCTAAAAAAAGAAAAAAGAAAGAAAAAGAAGAAATTCATATGATTAAAAACAAAAGCAAGGGACCAGCAGAAGGTGTAATGGTTATATCGCTGGACTCCCACATGGTCGACTGTGATTCGAGTCCTGGACTTGGTGGCTTAAAACTCATGCCAGGCATGTGTGTGTGCATGCCCAAAATCTTAAGGGGAAAATGGAGGAGAAGGAATTGAAGCATGGCCATCCCCCTGGGGGGTGATTTCTTACTTTCTGTCTCTCCCTGGTGAGTGCAGGCACCCTACAGCAAAAATCTCTCTTAACAAACAAACAAAAGCAAAGGTTCTTTTTTCCAGGTGGTAAGAATTATTTTTCAAAACATCTCATAGTTTCAAAGTGAGATAGGGCTTTATTCCGGTCCCCATCTTTCCTGCATCTCTCCTATTACGAGAACATGCCCAGGCATTGGGCTTGCTACTACAGGGGTTCACAGGAACTGGCTTAGTAATTTGCAAGTGAGTGCCAGCAAAATTGCAGATACTGTGCTTTAGAATTTCTGCCAATTCCAATTAGTCTCTGTGTGTGTTCACTGCCCAGCCACCTGCAGCTTCCAGAGAACTAGCCAGAAGGCTGAGGGATTTAGCCATCAGCCCTGAGAGGCAGGCAGTTCTGCCACGTCCACAGCTTAGATAAATAGAATTTGATCAGAACACTAACCCAGGAGATGCTGTTTAAAGGCAATATTTTGCCTGATTAAATTCTTGATTCATTCATTTAAGCCATAGATTGAAAGCATAAAAAGTCCCAAGGGGGGGTTTATTAACATGAAGATTGCTAGGATTCAACCTCATATCTTCTGATGTGGTAGGCTAAGCTAGGGCCAAAATCCTGCATTTCTATGAAAACAACTCAGATGATTCTGATGTGGTTGGTGGACCACACTTTGAGAAAACCATCCAGGGCCACACTGCCTTTTTTTTATTAATTAATTTCATTTCATTTATTATTTTTAATTTTCTATAGGTCATGTGCCCTCACCAGAGAAAGAGAGAGAGGGAGGGAAAGTGAGAAAGCAAGCCATCAGTTCCAGGACTCGAACCACAATGTGGTTCGGTCAGTTATGTGGGAGTCCAGTGCCTTAACCACCATATCGAATTCTAGTACTTAACCCAGAGCTTAACATGAAGAAGGTACTGAATATATTTTGTTGAATGAATGGATTCAAAGTGCATGAATGATAAGTGACTTGGTGTGACTTTTGATGGTTAACATAGATTAAAATAAATGGATACCCTAACAGACTGTATTTGTTTTTTTTTTTTAACTTTTGAAAAATAAGCCACTCTTAGATGTTTTTCCCTCCTTTTAATTAAGACTCTACTCTGTATTGCAACCCCAAATATAGAATTAGTCCATTCATTCCATATATGCATTTTATTATTTTTCCCTTGATCATATCCTTAAGTTGGAACATACTAATATAATTTTTCCAAATCTCAGCAGAGCTCATCTATGAACTGTGTTCTCTTCTTTTTCTCATTCTAGGAGCAAGCCCGGATGTTAGAAATGGGAATAACGGGCCCAGAAGGCCATGTGCTGAGCAGACCAGAGGAGGTAGGTTGCAGGGGATGGAGATGGAGTGTGGGATGTGGAGAGAGAAACAGTAGCAATGGGCCTTTCTTTTTCCCCAGTGCTTCTGGGAGACTCTTGTTGTCATAGTTCCAGTGGCCTAGCTATGGCTTCCTGCTCATTTTACCTTTGGAATATTTGGGTTTGACCTACCTTCACAAGCCACGTGTACACACAATCTGAATAAACAGCACTGTAAGGTGGTGAAAATCTATGAATTATATATGGTAGTCTTGGATTTTTTTTTCCCCAAAGATCACTCTACTAACTGTAGCTCAGAGACCCACGACAAAATGAAAGGGGAATGTAAATGAAACACTTACTTCTGATCCCTAATCTTTCTAAAGATCATATAAGTTGGAGTGTACTCCATGGTTATTCAACAGGAGTGTTAAATTTTTCATCCTTTTCTTAATCAGTGTGAACTCCAAAGACCTTTGCACTTAACACTTTTTTTTTATTGAATTCTATTTTGAGTCTTGCCAAATATTGGCCATATGGGTAGGAGGATGAATGGGCTTCTCACAGGCATTTTGCTCATCCGCTTGCATAAGGTGATGATTACATCCAGGTATAAAAGTTTCCCACATGTCGATGAATGACAGTTTGTATCTGCTTAGCCACAAAAGAGTGAATAAGAGGTGACTAGTGGCTGATTCCATGTCTCTGGGATGTCAGCAACTTGACCTGCTGACACAGGGCCTAGAACTGGGAATCAGCTGCCCTTATGGCTGAGAGCAAGTTGGTTCTGGGAGAGGAGCCTGGAACAAAGTCAAGGCTCTCCACGTTGGTGAAGCAAATCCTTCCCTGTCATTCCAAATGCTACAACAGGTAGATGAAGGATTCAGAACCAGAAATGACTGCATACCCATGGGCTGCTGTCTCTTTTAGTGACTTTAAATATCAAAAGGTAATTTTAATAGAAAAGGGTATTCCTATCATAAAGAGACAGTCATTTTTTGATAACTGTATACACTTCTACCATTAGCACCCAGGAGGGGAAGCAGGCATTGGCATGCTAGAAACTCTTTTGGCTCTTGTGATTTTTTTTTTCCCCATTTGAAATCATTTTTAATCTTGTGTTTGGGGTTCTAATAACACACGGCATTC